GATTTTCAGGTCACATAAAAATTTCCTACTAAAATAGAAGTTTTGCGAAGTCAATTTCAGTATGCTGAATATGATATTCATAAAAGAATACTTCTGTAGGAAGTTACATTGATGAGTTGAGCTTCAGATATATAGAAATCTGAGAGATAAGACGGTTAGAAAACACTGCATTTAATAGCTTTTGCTTGGTTAATCGATTTTTTATGTACATATTAGACAAACTATTTTTGATATCATAACATCTAATTATGTTAGGATACACAGAATTTACTTTATTTAATGTTTAATATTTCGACTACCTTTGCTTAATGGCTCAAATTATTCTAAAGTCCATTCTTAATTACTTATACAAAACACTCGAAAATGTAATTTTTTCACCATCGGTAGCAGTATGTTTTACAGAATGAGTACACGTGTATTCGTTTTGTGCTTTCATCAATAATTTTTTTTATAATTCTCAAATACTAATTTTCAGTGATTTGATTAGTTTGAAGTTTGATCTCGATCAGAAACAGACTACAGAACCAGTGGAAAACAGGGAGAACTATGAAGCTGTTTCATCCTAGTTTGGGAATAGTTCTAAGTGATACCAGTTTGTAATCGAATGGGGAACCATTTTGTAGTCATCCAGTAGTCATTGTAATTACCTCATTGCCAGCTGCATCAGAAACTACTCCCTTGAGATATTCCTTAATAAAGCTGCAGAATACATATCTTTTATTGATTCACGTAAGCGGTTTATATATATATATATATATATATTAGCTACCAAGAATTGTGAAATTCAGGTTCACAATGTCCCATCATCTTACTCCTGAAAATCTCATATCAAACCACAGTGCATGATAGTGGGCAGCGATATTGTATCACTTACTTTGGTGACCATAATATACTGCTGAGCACCACATTTTAATGAACACTTAGTACTGTACAGTTAATAAGATACTGACTCAAAGGCCATTCAAAATATTTAGAAAAATTAAAGCAAAATCCTTCTTTCTAACATATGCTTTTTCACATATTTTACATATGAGCGTCTGTAATACTGTTCGGTCACCTACATCAGTCTTAGTAGAGCAGAGTTAATATTTGAAATCTGATTATTAAAAGACGGGTGTTTAAATCACTGAACCATACTTCAACCGAAAACTGATATAAAGGGAAAACGGTAGAAGAATTTCTTCCAAGACTTAATGTAAATCACTAAATAAAATGTAATTACCAGAAATAGGATAAAATAATGAGTCATTAGCTGTAAAGGTAAAGCGTACAGAGCAAAAGTTGTACTGTTGAGAGCTGAGTGTTTCAAAAACTAATGTTTAACGAACTACTTTTACAGGAACATTCATACCTATTCTAAAGAAAACAAATAGAAGGACACAGTGAAGAATTTTCTTCTTTTCAATGAAGTCGTAGAATTGTGAATATATAAAAAGGAAGAAAATATTCCGGAACTATTTTTGATCAGAGGTCAAATTATGGTGAATAACAGGACGAAGTTATGAATACGGATTAAGAAATGAGAAGGAAAATAAAAGGAAGTTAGGAGAAAAACAATTGGATAATAAACCCACAAAACAACTTCTCAGTTATCTACACAATAAGTGGGAATCTTGCCAAAAGAGTACGAATTAAACTTCTTTAAACTGCGGAAGCAATGGTAATTCACATATTGAATCCTGAACTCTGCATACAAAAGAAGTTTGTTCAGTCACTAAATCTACAATGGTTCTGATCTATCTTAACACCAAATACGTAATTTTGTCTTACCTCTTTCTTCTTTGTTTGTCTGTTTCTTAATTGCATTATTTTCTACCCCCACCCTCTATTAAATCTCTACCCTCATGACGACTGTTGCTAACTCCATTTTCGTTCATTTTTAAGTGAATTTTACTCAGCTTATTAACTTGACTCTCATTCATTTTTCATTGAACCCTATCAATTAGATTACGTCACCCAACCTACTTTTGTAACTTTATTTTAGTTTCTAACCGATTAACGCCTTCTAAGTTACGTAATTTGTTGTCAAAAATTAACAATTGCATTAACACATCTTTGGAAATATTCCTTTCGTTGCCAAGAAAAAATTACTATAAATTTGCGGTTTGTACAGCTTGAGAATGATATCGCCGAAAAGAGTAACTCTTTGCTGAACGCCTTTTCTTTTCTATGACTGAATGGGAATTTTCAAATTGCTAATAATGATTTCCTTGGGAAAATCGAGTATTTATGACGACCTTGATAAAGACAAAGGTTGAACATTCTTCTTTTGAATATATATGGTGTTGACGTAAATATTTTATCGCTGTTTTAGCTATGTCAAGATATCTTGTTTTCATTCCCTGTTGAAGGATCAGTTGGGTACTGCACTAGACTTTGAGAGATCTCTCAGATGAAGCTAGGTGCCCTGAGTTCCCAAGATGTTCTATTATAGTTCCCTGCAAGAGAATGTTATTCGTAGGCTGTCAGCGAATTATGTTTTATTGAGAGATTTTGAAAGCTGTTTCTGTATCAGTATCACTTTTAAATAGAAGATTCAGCAGCAATATTTTTCTCATGGGCAATCTCGACCTGTTAAGCAGCGTGCTTTGATTTTAGGTTTTTGTCCATGAATATGAGATAGAATATGAATATGCATTTTCATTACTATCATTGAAGATCTGGTGAAAGCAAACAATGCATTAAAGTTAATTTTAAGTGGGAGTAATTAAAAGGAGAACTTCAGAATAGTGTCAACCCTGGAAATCTGTAAAGTTAAAAACTTTCATCTCTTTCACTGAAGCTGATTGGAGGTTTGGACTGCTATATATTACCAAAATCAACCAATTACAGATGAAATTTACAAAAGCAAAGCTTTAGACTATTAAGTTTTGATACTGTCGCGTTCCTTGAGCTAGATGGTTTAATAGTTAAGTTTTCATCATCTTTCTAGATAATATCTTAAGAGCTAAGTTGAAGATGAAGTGAACTTTCGGAGTTTTCCATGAACATAAAAACAGTGTCTTGATAAAATTCAGTGTAGCAAGTTGTCACTGGAGTATTTACTATTCTCCTATTTATTTGTGTTGGTTTTAATCATTTTATTGCCTAAATATTTGGCTGTTCATTCAGATAACTTGTTGTTTATTGCCTGATATATATTGTGGATTCATTTGTGCATCAGGCTTCTAGTAACTCTCTGGAATTTTGGTGTCTTGTTTATTTAGGATCCTAACATTTCCCCTAGTCACATTGGTATCTTTTTCCCCTGTGGATTGATCGAGTAATTATTATGCCTGTTGACTGCTTGATTTTGCTAGTGAAGGCGAAAAAGACCTTCACTTTGACTAGCATAATGTGTTTCACAGTTGATGTAATTTATCTTATAGGTGATGTTGGTTTTGTATCCTTTTTGGCGTTGCATCTTTTGGCTGACTTAGTGTAGATTGAAGAGGCTTGCAAGTTTAAGGATGACATTTGTTCCGGTAGGTTTCTTTGTTAAAGCGGTGATTACAGAAATGTTCTTCATAGATGGCAGGTTGACTACTTTTTTGGTTTCAGATGATTTTATGTTTCTAGGTTGACTTGAGGGTAGATATCTTCTGATGAAGTAGCAAAGAGATCCGTTTATCCAGAAGTCAGTCAAATATTCCCCTCCTACCTTCTCCCCCTAAGAGAAATGCTGCCGCATGTCTTGGTTGTAGTGAACAATGTTTGTACACAGATTCTTTCGCGTACTTCTAGATTTTTACTAATGCAATTGAGTATTTGATTTTTTGCATGAATGTGCTTCTAATATTCTTTTACCTGTTTCATTGATCAAGACATCCATATATGGAATTAATTTGTCTAGTTTTTCTCTTGAAATAAATTGTCAAAAACACGATTAAGAAGGTTGTGAGTGTTTTATAAATCATTTCTACAAATTATGGTGGATGTGTTATCAAAGTACAGCATCTGAATTTCTAGCTTGTTCGCTTATAACATTATGATTTCTAGCTTTTGCAGAAGAGCATCACTAATCAGTCCTGATGTGAGTAATTCCACTGGTATCTCTCTTTTGTATGTTAATATTTCTGATCACTGATATATACGCTAGTTTCCCGTAGCGTTCCTTGGATAAATTGAATGTTGAGGCTCTTCATCATTTCAGTATTGCAAGCTATTCGGCAAACTCTAATTTCCTTTGATAATGATGGTTTTCTACTAAATGAGGCAAACAAAGTTAAATTTTGATATGTAGTTATGAGAAACTATTTACAAAGCACGAAATTATATTGTTCACTGAGAAGTCAGAAAACATGTTTGGAAGCTTTCTGCTGAAAAGTGATGTGTTAGTTTTCAGTTACTGAAATGTAACATGATACATAATGTCTTCGGCCAATATTTGTTTTGTACAATATTGAAGTTCGTTGCCTGGCATCGATAACTACTTCATATGTTCACAATCAATCGATTTTAGATGTTTTGCCATCTGAGAATAAATTCACATGGTAAGTTGTAAGTATTTATTAACTGTTAAATAGCTCTACATTGATTTTAACTGATGAGGGTTAAGATTTGAAGACTAGATAGATGCACTTCGCCTTCTGAACCTTCATATTCTCAAGAATAAAACTAGTAACAATATTTTTAAGAGGTTGACTAAGGGTTTTACTTTTGATAAACTTCAGATTTGTTTAGCAGTTAATATTATCATCACGACATGTTGTTTTGTTTTCCGTGTGACTGCACATACATGATTCAGTTATTCTAAAATATTTTCAAAAAATTAGTTCTTTTACGTATGTGCGAGATAAATCTAGGGTGTGATAGGTTCTTTCATGATGATATTATTACTATCCAAAGTCTCAGCAGGCGATTAGTCGTACTATGAAAATGAACTATGAACTTTATGAAACAACATACCAAGTTTATTCAATTTTTAACCAAATGGTTATAAGTAACTTGGTTTACTCGGAATTTAGAGTGAATTAATCGTAATTTATGCAGAACAGTAACAAGCTAGTTATCAGAAGCAGATGATTCTGTTAAAAATATTCATTTCACTTCTACCTTTCTTAGTTAATAGTAAGAACATTACAAGGTTGGTTAGCGCTCTGTACTAACTAAATACTGTAAACAGAATTCGGTTGTATCCATCACGTCATAATATATCCGCTTATAATTCATTTGATCATTGGTGGAATTTGTCAGTCAAAAGTTTAACAGATAAATGGTCAAGAAGATTAAATTCTTCAGAGAGAATAGTCCCTGAAACGTTAGAGAATTATCAAAATGTAAGCGCATATTTGCTGGTTGTTGTTTTCACTTTCACTCTTATTGTCTATCCCCCTAAGTATGATTTTCATCTTAAACATATCATTTCAGATTGAATATTATGGAGAGATTTCTATTGGGACACCGCCACAAGTATTTCATGTGATATTTGATACAGGATCATCATATTTGTGGATTCCATCGACGAAATGTAAAGATTATAACAGAGCTTGTCAACTTCATCACAAGTATGACAGTTCACAATCTTCGACTTACAAAGAGAATGGGGAGGAGTTTTCTGTTGAGTATGGTACTGGAAAAGCATCAGGATTTTTGAGTTCTGATGTTATTCATGTAAGAAAACATAATGTTATCTTGATATCCGCATTCAATTATTTACTTTTATTCAGATAGGCGCGTTAGATATTGTGGATCAGACATTTGGTGAGGTAACTGATGAACCTGGTTCAGTCTTTGTACCATTTCATTTTGATGGCATAATGGGTATGTCATTTGAGATAACTTCGAAAAATTCTGCTGTAAAACCTGTATTTATTAACATGATTGACCAGAAATTGGTAGATGAGCCCATATTTTCTATTTATCTTAGTCGGTAAGTCTGATTAATTTAGAAAGTTTGATTTATAATCCCCAGTGCCTTCCTTCATCACATCATTATGACTGTAACCTGATTAGTACTTAGCTGTCACATTCAGGAAATAGGTTTTATTCATTTTAAAATTTGCTGGATAGATCTTCGCATATTCTAAGTTAGAAAAAATAGTAAGTGTACCTCTCTGAATCATCATAAACTAAACTGAAATATCTGCCGTTTGCCTATTGGTTATATGAAGGCACAATAGCCTGTTAGCTTAAACACTTGACATCTAATCAGTGGATCATGCTTATTCATGATGTTCCACCTACTTTAAAATTATCAACTCAGGAGTGGAATACACTATCTCATATCAAGTATGGATTATACTCTAGTAAATTTAGCAAATCAGTTCTGAATAACTGAAGTGCAGTTATTATCTCTCATGATATTTATTGCATTCTTGATAATGAAGTTTAATTAATCCAGTTAGGTGTAGAAATCAAATATAAGAATACAGCTCGGTAAGTGAATGAATCCATTTTCTATACTGAAACGCTCATTGGTAATGATATATTCCAGACATTTCAAGAAGATGGTAGGTGCAACACTTGAAGTACTGAAAACTTTACCGACTGTATTACTTGGATGTTTCAAGTATAGTCTCGAGTTAATACATAGGAGAAACTTATCATCTATGATTATCTTTGTTTTATGATTGATTCGTAGTACTGTGTTGTCAAAAAAGTCATTTAAATATATTCTCTAAAGATTATGACCAAAATTAAAACCAAATTAAAATGCATTTTCTCGTATTCACCCATTATCGAATGAAGTGAAATAAAGTTTGAGGGGATTAATACTGAAATAGTTGTTCGAAAAGCCTGTCACCTGTTCACATATTGTAAGTAATTTCTTATCATACACCATACATTTCCTTCTATCTTAACCTAAAGAATGATAAAGCTGTTGTCATGGAAATCGAAATAAACTATCTGTAATTTCAGTACTAACTTTTATTGTTCTAAATCAAATTCTTATCGGTTAGATTCTGTGTCTGTGAAACTCTTGTTAGAAATTAAGTTACAAGTAGGATACAATGGGATTTTAAGCTGATTATTCTACCGTTTTTATGAAACATTATAATGAATCAATCTGACTCGGCGCTCAAATTATTCCAGGAAATTCGTAACACCTATGGCCTGGAAACCTATGATTTAAATTAGTTACTAAGTAACCAACTATCCAGAAAGCACTGCTTCTAGTATCTTTGATCTCAGGCTGAAGTATTCAGAGATTTTATTGTTTGTCAAGCTTTGACTTTAATGAGAAAGGCTTTCAGTATCAGCACATCAGTTTCTCAACCAAACCGTTCCTGAGTCATTGCAGCAAAGATTGCCACATCAGTGCGTGTATACAAATGTGGAGCTAGTTATATAGGTCGAACTCAAAGGAATTTATCTTTACGCTGTCATGAACATGGCTTGGAAAAGGTGTAACCAAATCAATAAATAGTTCCATCTTGTCTCATATATTGGATAGTGAACATCACATCAAAATAGATGAGTCATTTACAACTGCATTTCGAGTACCAAACTATCTGCCTAAATGCGCACATGACCGCGTCTCTTAGCTATAGAGATTAATATGAAAAAACCTGACCCATGTGTGCAAAAGAAGCACATTCATCGTCTTTCTTCACCCTGGCCTACCATAAGGTCAGCAGGGACATAATCATCCATACTTTCATGTCATGTCTTTCTTATTCCTTTTCATTTAGTTTATTTACACCAAGCTAATTTGCACTACACTCACTATGTCTCTAGTATTTTATTACAGTTGACCATCTAACCTCTTTATTTTATCTCTACACTTGACATCTGTCAGCGCTTGAACTTACATTCAGTGTCCCCCATTTGTTGGTATGTATTTGTATGTATTTTGTGGCAATCATTTTCATCGCACATCATTGAATATGACCCCATCCCCACCACCAAATGAAACTTATATTCTGCACTATATATACATTAGTATGTCACGTTATTATACATTATTTGTCTATTCACACTTTATCTTATTTTCTGAGTGACAATATTAAATAACCTGGGAGTACTAGACAGCTGTTTCATCCTAGTTTGGGACTCTTCATCAGTGCTCACCCACCGGGATTCAAACCCAGGACCTTCTGGTTACAAGGCGAGCTCGTAGACCATTGAGCCACTGGGACCCGATCCAATGGTCCTTGAATTCTAATTTCTGCCAATTCACGACATAGCGCGACCATTTCACAATGTCTTCTTTGATGAGTTACTGCCTCATCTTCAACCTGCTGTACTCTACTGGTCACGGCTCATGATGAAATCTTCCAGGTAGTTAACCTGGGGTTCTAGTGGGAAGCTGTGACCAGTAGGGTACAGCAAGTCGAAGATGAGGCAGTAACTCATCGAAGAAGACATTGCAAAATGGTCGCGCTATGTCGTGAGTTGGTAGAAGTTAGACTTCAAGAACCATTGGATCGCGTCCCAGTGGCTCAATAGTCTACGAGCTCGCTGGCCTTGTAATCAGAAGGTCTTAGTCTCGAAACCCGGTGGGTGCATACTGATGAAGAGTCCCAGACTAGGACGAAACAGCTGTCCAGTACTCCCAGGTTTTCCAGTGGTTCTCTAACTGATGTCAGCTCATGATGAAATCCTCCATGCAATCAAACAAAATCCCTACAAAACCAATACTTGAAAATATTAAATAAAGCAATATCACTCCATATAATACATGTATCACAATCGAGTTTTCGAAATGATTGTCACATGCCTTTAGTGGCTATTTGTATCATAATATTCATGGAATTATAACTGTACAGCCTGAGGAAGAAGTTATCGAAAACAATTATTCGCTCAGAATTATCTTGTTCTGATTACACTATTGGGATTTTTAATTTACTTTCACTATCAGTTTAGATATCATCTTTGGTAGTGCTTTAAGCAGAAGCTTCAAACCTCAGAGGGAATAGTGGTTAACACAAGGTTTCACACGAATATCAGCGAGCATGAAACCAAGATCAAAGAATTCTTCTAGGTTGGCTTTTAACTTTTTTTGAATCTCTTCTTTTGACAGGTAAGTCAATTTGTGATGATATTAGATGGTTGGAGGCAATCGGCAGGAAGCCTTGGACCTAGGTTTCGTGCTAGTTGGCACTCGTCAGCAAGGCGTATCCGCAACCTTGAAGGAACTCATGTCCCTTCTGAGATTCGGACCCGCGTCACCCAGTGCTGCAGTCAGAGACGTTACCACTGAGCTATTAGGGCTCGCGATTGACCTCCTGTAGGACTGTGGTGGATATTTTGATTTGACACTAGTAACTAGTATGATGCGTCTAGTCAAATGGATATATTACTAATCATACAGTATGAGTAAAGATCATGGAATCCGTAAGCACAATAAGAATACGCCTTCTAGATTTATTCGAAATGAAAATATTTTTCTGTAGACATAAATTTTTTACTGAAAAATGAGCTTAGCTGTAGCTGAAAATAGTCTACAAACAAAATTTTTGTTATTTAGGGCTTCAAAAGCTTTTGAACAGGAATTCCTTTTATAGTCATATTTAGAATCTAAAGTTGTGATTCTTTTTTTTTACATACATTAACTCCATCATTCAGAAATGAAGATAAAACAACAGGAGGAGAAGTAATGTTTGGTGGAGTAGATGAAAATTATTATACAGGTGATATAACTTACTTAGATTTAGTAAACCGTGAATACTGGATGGTTCACTTCGATGGGTAAGCAATTTAATTAACTTGTAAATCATGTTGTGCATATTTTATTCTGAAAAGCATTACGTAATCATCAGAAGAGTGTGTCATTTCAAATTAGATAAGTTCATCCAATTTAGAAGGCTTATAGAATTAAGTGAGTAGAGTGATGGACAACTGGACGTCTGTTTATCACAGCAATAAGTTAAAATGAAAATATATGTCTGCTTTCATTGGAAGCAATAAATACGGATTGATTGTCAGTAGTTCTGATTTTCTGTTGTTTTATCTACTGCACTGGACTAATACTTCTTTGACACTGTAATAATGACCGAAGCTTGATTATAATGTTGTACAAGCAGAATTGAGAGAGAATGTGTTGTCATGTGAATGGATTTGTGTCCCGGTGGTTGCTAGTGCCCTTACTGAAATCAAACTGACAAGCCACTGTTTTACACGTTACAGTGTAATCTAATAGACAATTGAGTTACCCATTGCTTAAGTAACTGTGACAAAAATTCATGTGTTAAAATCCTATAGATACATTTTCGCTGTGTCAAAAGTTTCATCAAGTGGGTAATAGTGTCTCACACTGTAGTATGAATTTTATTCACCCTGAACAGTCTTAAAGGAGGTAAAAATAATATTGGAAAACCTTTAGGACCTTTATTTCCAGCTACGTATATCATATTAATTTTACGGATGAACGTGGAACTCTCTTATCTCTTAAATCACAAGCTATTTCAGGTCATATATGTCATTCAATGTTTAATGGCTGTACAAACTGACTGTAATTCTGCAAAACGTGGAATAAATGATTTAAGTTGCATATCCAAGGAATGATTCTCTAGTCAATGAAAACTGATGTCCCTTTGCTGATTTGCGATTGTATCAATTAGAATATGCTGAAGATCTGTAAAGTGAAAGAGAGCAAGCTACTGCTTTCATTTCCCTTTCAAATATTGTTTACCGGTCAGATGTTACAACTTTTAAACGACATGCGAAACTAATGAGACAAACTGTCAACTACACCTACTAATAAAATATGTGAAGTTAGGTGTATATACCAAGTTCATAAATTTTTCAATTTTAAAATGACCATTTACTAACCTCTGTGTATTTAAATGGTGGCTTATGTAGAGACAATGTCAGAATTTACTCAGTAAAACTGCATTTATATATATATATAAATTGAGAAATTCATAGAATTCTTTTGCTTAACAATCCTGAAGTTTATTAGTGGATTGTAAAGAATTCTGCCCTGGTGGGAGTACAGCACTAATTGATACAGGCACAACCTTGATATCTGGTCCAAGTAAAAGAATCAAAGAAATTAATAAATATCTTGGAAGTAAACATACCGCCAACAATGAAAACCTTCTGGATTGCAATAAAATACCAGAATTACCGTCAGTTGAAATAGCTTTAGGTGATAAAACTATTGTTCTGCAACCAGATGATTATGTTCTTGAGGTAAGTGATTACCTATGCAATGGTTACGCAAATTTATTTTATAACTGTGAACACGTGTTTAAAGATATTTCATTTCAAAATCTATTACATTCCAGTAAGCTTTGAATCTTGATTGTTGGTCATTTATAAAGTTCCTATCTAACGTTACTCGAAATCAGCTTTATTTACTTATCATTTAATATTAGTTTCTTTTGAGTGTACTTTAAACTGGAAATGTGGCTGGTTGTTTTAATAATCAATGAAACTGCAGCAGTGCTCAAAGGGAACTTTAAAAACAATATTTCATGTCAATGTTTGACTGTAATTGAAAAAAATTGGTATTTTTAAAGTTCGTTTCAGTCATCAAAAAGTTATATGGAGGTGAAACATTTCAAATCTTCTTTAAATTCTTCACTAGTATCACCAGCCCTTAAACATCAAGTATAGTTGATGGCTTGGTGCTTGATTACGAAATTCTGCAAAGCACTTTATTATTTCACATGTTATGCATACTTTCTGAAATGTTTCATTTTACAATTTACATCACTTGTAAGTGTACACTTTGTGTTCTTTCAAAGTGCAGTTAGCTTCAAATACTCCTTGATCTAATGAAAAATATTCTAATTAGTATGAATATGTTTTAGTTTGATAAATACAATCAGTTGTATAAATCTTAACACTTTAAAATTCATGTGAATGAGTTATAATTTTCTACATTTTCAAAACATTATACGCAATATGTAAACATATAGTCTTTAAGTTTACTTATCTGCCAAGGATATCACATGGTATGATTTCTTGTTGACTGGATTGTAATCTTTTGTAGGTCGTTTAATCAATTCTAGTCAGCACTTGGTCTAGCCATTCACATCTTTCAACAACAACAATCCAAATCTATGGTCTTTGTTTGCCTTTCAAGCTTTAGAAAACCAACTGGTTAATTCGATTCTATACATTCAATGTTCTCGTGTCACTATAATGATAATAATAGTAATAATAACGCTAATTTAAGTAGTAAAGATTAAAACATTTATCTGATAAATGACGATTATCATCTGACTTTCTTTACTGTTGGTATTGAAGGCTATACGCTCGTCACTACTTTTATTCGCATATATATATATATATATATATATATGAATAGAAATGGCACACTTAAATCTTTTACCTGAAGTTTATTTTCATGAAATGAAAACAAGATAAAAGTTGGCTTAAATGACAACTTAACTTGTAACAGATAATAATAGAGTATCTGAATTATGAACACAGTAAGAGAGACAAAACATCGACAAAGCCGGACTGAAAAGATACATTTTTCGTGTGTAAATTGAGATATCTACAGAATGTGAGGAATAATTTCCTTGTATTGACAGGGATTAAAGGTTTACACCTACCAAAACTTTAGAAGTAGGAGAAACTAATTACCTAGTGGTTTATCGAATGTAAATTTATTTGAGAACTGGTTGTGAAGTGGTGTCAGATGACTATATAAAATGGTTCACCTTTGGTAGTGATGAATTGAAATAATGGAAACGACCTTATTTTGTCAAGTTGTGTGAACTATAGCTGAAAAATGTTTCACTAAATCATCAGTGATTCATACATAATTTTGTGCTTTATTGAAATATGTTATACAAGAATTAGTTTAATTAAAGATATGACTTATTCTTTTATCACTGTCATGTTTTGAAAAAATAATTTCAGAAAATTGTCAATGGTTCACACATATGCAAAAGTACTTTTATTGGTATTGACTTTTCAACTGGTCCATTATGGGTATTTGGTGATGTGTTTCTGAGGAAAGTTTATACTGTTTTCGATGTTGGTAATCAACGCATAGGATTTGCTGATGTTGCTGGGATGAAATGAACTTTTGCAAATAAAAGTATTATTTGATTAATAATAATAATAATTCCAAATTTGTTATTTTCATTATTAATTATATCCGAAATGGTTCTTCTAACTTTAATATGGACAGAGAATAAAAAGGGAAACGATAATAGAGTTGCTCCCGACTAAAGTTAGACACTTTTCCAGGAAACTAAAGGGTTGAATTGGTAGGGAACGCTCAACATGAACTTCAAACAAAGAGCAAAGGTAAGCAATACAATGGAAACCAACATTGTGTCAGTTATCTTAGTGGTCACAATGCATTTGTTATCAATAGATTTTCTTCAAAACCGTTAGAACTAGACTAATACATAAGTTAATATCTGATGGCTAGAATGCACATGTGACAATTCGCTATAGAATTCATATTTGTGACATCATAAGCAAACTTAGAATTTAGGCACACTGATATTCGACTAGCTTGCAAAGATGCTAAGAAGGCCCAATTTCTGTTAAGATGAGTTTGTCTCTAGTCTCCTTTCTCATGTGTTACTAAAACGGAAGTCAAACACTGTATTCGATGAATTCTCTAATGTCTACTGTTAGTGTTGAAACAGCTTTCCAATGGAACCAATTCTAATCTCTGTGTCTAGTTCTGTAGTGAATTTGATAATTACTAATAGTTGTAACTAGCTATTACTGGAGACTTACAGAGATGTCGGAAATTTATATTCCATAAAATTATTCATACCATGTATTTACAATTAGAAGAAACAAATAACAACGGTCATTTACATGATAAAGTAATAAAAATAGTCAATCACTACACTTATTCAATAACTCCCTTGTTGGATCAAAGTAAATGTCAGTAGAATCAAAGAGTGCTGCATATAACTTTTCTTTAAGTTGTTCAGTAATGATAAATTTTAAGCGTTGATTTCTGGAACAATATTTTCAATTGTAATTTAAGCATAATTGTTCACAACGTAGGAGTGTATTTATAGCCAGAAACATTCAAATTACTCATAGATAATTTTTCTTCAGAACCAAAACAATCAGAGCGAACAAATGCTTTCAATGAAATTTTCTTCAGACTCTGCAATTATAAATCCACTAATTTCAGCATACAATAGCCAGTAAAGGCAAATTAGAATTTAAATCAGAAAATGTATTGTGGAACAACCGCAAGATGGGGCAATAGTCAGTTAGTTTTGACTATCATGGTCAATAAGAACATCAGATGAAATAATTCAATAATGTGTGTATATACATAGTTAACAAAAGTACAGGTTTCAAGAATGAGTGTAGTCAGTGATGTGTGAGACGATATGAATACCAAAGAAAAATAAACCAACAAATGGGATAGACTAGACGTAAGTTCATTGGTGACAAATAACAATAATAATGATAATGAAATAATAACGATGATGTGGTGTAAACTTAAAAGTACTAGGAGTGAACGATTATCACGTGATAGTGAATTTACTGAAGTAGACTGAACATTCATGAAGTTAACTCTGAAGACGTCCAGAAAGACAGTAAATGATTATCGACTGAGCGATCCACCTCAGAATATGACGACATTAATATTTTCCAATTGAGCTAGAAATCTTCCTTATTCACTCCTGTGGATTTATGGATGGATGTCCGAACATTCGGATTCACATCGGTTTTTAAGTTACAGTGCTTATTTTAATTTTTTGAGGTGTAATTAAAGTGAGACCGGTGTATAAATACCACACTCGGTTTCCGCAAACATTAGATATAACTTTTCGCCAAATACAACTTTCGTTATTTTCTCTACATAGCTTTCTAGACGGTATGGGGATTCTTCAGGTGCTTTAAGTTTTGTTCCAACGAGTACACAACCAACTAGGCTCTGATGTCACTTTGAGCTTCACCTTTGTGCTGGTAAAACGCAAATCCTCAGCGTCCATAATAAAGCCATACCAGCCAGAAAAGTTCTGAAATCCTTACCCAAATAATCTTAGTACTATATTCTACTTGAATATATTAACAATCAGGGCACATTTCTAAACAACTGGGTATCTCTGATATTAGTACACTAAAACCACACATCTTGATGCTATAAGCGTTGAGAGTTGGACAACCTCAGTAGTGAAGAACTTTGTGTAACTACCATTGTAACAATGATACACGCTTGCAGGCTTCAACTCAAAATCCAATACAAAACCAAGTTGTTCCGATGAGACCTGTAACTCCATTTACTCAAGCCGGTCCTACAGCTGCTCAATTACAACAGTTTACCCAATCACCTCAACAACAACAGATTCAGGCACAAGCTCATCAGTTACAACCAGCTCAACAGCAAGCTTATATCCAACAACATCAGCAACAAGCAACAATGATGGCAACTGACGTCTCTGTCAGTGGTCAACCTTGTACTGTAGCTGCACGCTCCTATGCTACTCCCCAGTTTATCACTCTGGCACCAGGAGCTCCATTAAAAGTCATGACTGTTGTTCCTAACGGTCAGCTGATTCAAACCACTGGTTTACCACGGCTTATGCCAACTGCTCTTGTTGGAATGGCTATCAATCAACCAACTTCTACTCTCCAACCTCAGCAAACATCAATTCAAGTTACTCCTCAACGCCGAGTAACAACACCTCAGCAACAACAACAACATGCTGACGGACGTTCACTTTCAACCGTATCAGCAGCAGCAGCTACTGCTGCACTCTTCTCTGGCACAGCCATCTCTTCTTGTACAATTCCACTTGTACAACCAGCTTTCATGGAAATAGAGGTAACTGAATGTTTACCCAAGTCATTTCCATACTTCCTGATTACTATACTATTAACTGTATGTTAAGATATAAATCTATTCTGTAACTCTTTACAATAACAAACTCATTATTATTCTAATAATAATTTTTCTGCTTTTATTGCTACATGTTGCACAACTTTCTAAACATTTTAGTTCGTTTCAAAGTTGTTAACATTTTCGAATATATACAGTTATAATCGAACCTCAGAAAACTTAAAAGCCTCAATTCGGTTTTCATATTTTTTTTGTCCTTGTAATTTACAATATCATTCCGAATACAGGTAAACTTCATTTACCTGCATTCTACGGAGGGGCTATTGTAGTGACCCGTTTTATTACTCATCATCGCAGTATACTTTCACTATGTAATTGTACTTTGATTTGTTTATTACTCTAAATCTTGCATGTTAACAATTGATACTTTTGTACTCGCTCGATTTTTGAATTGTTGATTGCTGCAATAATACACTATCGTATTCCTTCGGAAGTGCCTTTTGAATTACGTTGCGGATGTCGAGTAATCGCAACGTTAGGTCACAATTATAAACGCGAAGAAATACTAGAAGATACGTGTACTCTAGTTCAGTCAAAATATCAGCAGCACAACACCTTCAGCTAAACAAATCAACTAAAACAGTGCGGGTCAGCATCCAATGTTCAGTGATGAATGCTGTGGCTAATAATTCTGGGGAATTACCTACCTCTACAAGCACATTACTATTTATCAGAGTCTTCTTTAATTTGTGCCTTATTATCAGTACTTACAAGACAGATAGAGTACTGATTGATCGAATACCAAGAAAACTTCATTTAGTAGGGTTGGCACATTTTGGCTTATCCATAGCATTACCAGCACTCCTACTGATTCATCAGTTTCCCACACAAAGTTTAAATCAATCAGGTCAGCGCATTTTTTTAGGTTTCCAAATCTGGATACCGAAGGTTCTCGATCTACATTGCCCTAACGTGTATTGTCTTTTGGAAATACGTACTGATAAACATGTACCCATCCATCTGACAGGGCAAACAACTTTCCTTCATTTAGTCTGACACCTCTATAACAACCCGACTCAGGTGAAAAGCATTCAAAACCGGATGATTTTTGGATAAACGATTTCAGTGCGTTTAACAGTACTGTGCCATCTCCTTGTATCGGGAATTCAACAAATGTGTGGTGATTGACAATTTCTATCATTGTATTGTTTAAATACTTGCTGTTGTTTGTTAATATATATATTTATTATATGAATTGAAAATAACACCGCCAAATTCAAATTCTCTGTGTTTTGGTTGATTACTCCCAATATCCAATATCTTTTTACGAGCTAGTATAAACCAATTTGATTTCTTTGCGCTCGCCTCTTGATTGTAAGGTAGAGGTTCCTGATCTTTGGTAAACGTCTGTGTAGCTCGTCCCGCCACTCGACTGCCGTAGCTTTGGTTGACTCCAACAGGAGTAGTGCTGGGATTAATTATATGGCGTCTGTAGTATGAAGTGTGTTAAGACTGTTACTACTGTGAATGGAGTTGATCCTTTCACCAGTTAGTCTTTCGGTATCGTCGTCAATGGAAAAGAGATAATAATAATAATAATAGATATAATTAGTAAAGGTATTCAGACTAACAGACAGAGAAAAAAAAATAAGAAAACGTAACAACAGTCAGTCAACCGGTATACATATATATATATAATATATACCAGTAATAATGATAATAATAATAATAATAATAAGTGTAGTTAAAGCTGTCAGGAGAGTAAGACTGAAGGGAATGTGAAGAAGTAAAACGACCAGTTTAATTGTCTATCTTTGAATGGTATATGCGATTTTAAGGGGATAGGCCATTTGGATACAGTCCTTGTGTCACTGCAAGGTTGTCCAGCCTTCGCTTAAAGGCGTCCACAGATGGTGCCATAGCTACATCTGCCGGTAAGGAATTCCAGGGACGACAAACCCGCAGGGAAAAGAAGTGGGAGCGCACCCGGGTCCTTGCCCTCTGATGAGCTATCCTTCTGGGATTTCCACGAGGGAGCCTATACCTACTCAATGGCAGAACACCTTTGTTCGGGTGATTCTGATCATTTGTTATTTTGTAGGCAGTAATTAAATCCCCCCTCAGGCGACGGTAACTGAGTGTGAATAGGCCTAATTTCTTCAGCCTTTCGTCATATGGCTTATTTCGGAGACCAACCACTCCTTTTGTTGCCCGTCGTTGAGCTCTTTCCAAGAGGTTGGCGTCTCTTTTAAGCAGTGGGGGTGCAATGATATTATGCA